ATGGTGGATCCAGGATTTAGACATTGGGTGGTCCTAACGTAAACAAATCAAGGATGATTTTTGCTTGTAATATCGTTCCATAATTCTAATTTCTACACATATCAATTAATCAAAACAAAAAACCATATCAGCTGATGAAGCTAAAAAAATTATATAAGAACTAACAACACATCCAAACAATATCAAAAAAATCATAACAAATTAATAAGAACAACAATTCTATTATGAAATTTGTTGGTATTCAAGAGTTTACAAACTCAATACCAATTATGTGGGTGACAGGTTTTCTAACTCAGTCACACCTCTCACTTGTTACTCTCTTTACGAAGCTGGACAAGAGAAAAGAAAGAAGCAGCAAGCGTCTTGAAAAAACATTCGCTTAATATATTAAAAGATTTTCAACTCTATTGCTGAAAATGGGAATGGGATTACAAAAGAGGTGTGATATCCACACATCCCATTTTACTTCTCACACATCTTTTTCATTTTCAGTCGTCGGATCGGATGAATTGAAGAAGATCAACAGATAGAAATTATCAAGACGTATGTGAGAAGTAAAATGGGGTGTGTGGATAGCACACCCCTAAATAGCCTTACGGGAAGGCTTACTTATACATGCAGACTAAAGAACCACACAAGTGGTTTTAATAAACAATAGAAAACAAAGACTAACACATGCAAAATAAATAAAGGTGTTCAAAGTCTTTACATCCTTTAAAACACATGCAGCAGCTTTAGACTTTTGCACACACACACTCTGCATTATTCCACTGGTTGCAATCCACAATTTCGGCCAACACATGGGAAGCTTTAATTTTTGGAAGGTGCAGCTGCAGAAGGATTAAAACCATGCTAGTTGAAAAGGATAGTTTTGCAGACAACTATTTCAACTATTGGCATTTATTTTTCTTAGCAGCACGCCAACATTGTAATAATGTTTTTATTTGAACTTCCAACAAAATTAACATCCTACTTGACCATCAGCTCAAACAAGAGGTGACACTACAATTGGGCTCCTGACAGTGTATTTTCCATTTTGTTCGATCCAAACAAGTGCGCCAGAAGAAGCGTTCCCTTTCTTCTTCGCATTGAAATTTATAGTGACCGTAAAACTTTGCTTTTCATACTTGTATGCAAAGATCAGTATCTCCGGGGAGACTGTTACCTGAGAACCCTTTGGAGCAATCACCGAAGCCATGTACCTGGCCGCGCCATCTCCCACATTTGTTACGGTCCTCTGAAATGTTTGAACCCTTGTCTTTGTTTTGTGATCATTGTTGGACAACGCAATGAAAGATGGATAGTTGAGATCAGAAGATGGTTTGGAACAATCATAGGCATGTGATCTAGTGATGGATAAGATTTGGTTACGCGTAAAGTTCGTGGAGCATAAGAGATTGACATATTCTTGTGGAGTTGCATCGTATATAAGGCCCGGATCAAGTGCTCTATTAGGATCGATGTGGCCTGCTCCCATAGCTAATGGTGAAGCAAAGTTGAAATTGTCACCGTCGTCAAGAATTGGATTGCCAGTATTGTCCAATGGGTTAGCTGTGGTCATCAAAGCAGATCTAATTGCTGCTGCACTCCATTCCGGGTGCGCACCTTTCAGTAGAGCAGCTACACCTGAAGCATGAGGGCATGCCATGGATGTCCCGGATATCAAATTGTAGTTGCTAGGTAAGTTCACATTGAACCCGATTTTACCCGCTGCAACCTTAGGAACCCAAGCAGCTAAAACTAATGACCCCGGGGCCATTATGTCCGGCTTCAAAATGCCCGGATAACTTTTTGAAGGACCTCTCGAAGTGTAAAAAGCTGCAGCGGGTGCAGGCTTTGTATTGAGCAACGTTTGTTGGAAATTTATGCTGACAGTAGGGTTTTCACTTTTTAGTGCGTACTCGATCACAGTCCGCCCATCCTTCGTATTCACCACAACGCTAGGAGTTCCAACGTAACCTAATTCGCGTATCTCAGGATTATTGGTAATAAAGATAGCTCCAAGAAGCCCCGATTGGATGATGTAAGATATTTGATTACGAATAGGCACCGTGTCATCACATATGATGATCGCATCTGGGGCAGTTTCAAGCGCTGCGGTTGAGTTGCATGCTGAGAATGTCTTGTTGTAAACCAGTGGCGAGTTTTCGACTAAGGAGTTTGCTGGAAACAAGGTAAATCCAGTAATGGTTAAACCATTACCAAAGGTTAATGTTCCTCCAAATGAGCGGTCTATTGTGCCGGCTGCAACGGTCAAGACCCAAGGGATGCCATTGTGCAATTTCCCAAGCTCTGGGCCTTCATTTCCGGCTGAAGCTGAAACCACCACACCCTTCTCCATGGCTGCAAATGAAGCAATCGCTACGGGATCCTCGTACAATGGTGTGTCGTCAAAGCCAGAGGAAATTGAAATAACATCCACACCATCAGCAATAGCTTGGTCCATACCAGCTAGAACATCAGAGGCATAACGCCCCTCATCCCAGCTAACCTTGTACATGGCAACTCTGGCACGCGGTGCTACGCCTCTGGCTGTTCCTTTAGCGTAGCCAAAATAAGATGCCCCGTCTACGTAGTTCCCCGCAGCTGTGGAAGATGTATGTGTCCCATGCCCTAAACTGTCTCTGGCCGAGTTCATGCTAAGTGTGACACCGGGGTTTGCAGCCATGACACCCTTATTAAAGTATCGAGCTCCAATCAATTTATAGTTACAAAGAGAGGCATTGAACTCTTGTCCAACCTCGCATTTTCCTTTCCACCTAGCTGGAAGACTTTTGGTCATACCTTCATCTCTGAAGCTTTCACTCTCCGGCCAGAGACCGGTATCAATGACACCGATGATGATGTCGTCTCCGTAATCCGAAGCAGGCCACAGTCCGGCGAAAGGATTGAGGTTGAGGAACTGAGTGGTGTGGGTGGTGTCGAGCGTAATGGACTTGTCAGCGTAAGCTGAGACGAAACCCGGGGACTTTTTTAGAGTCACTAATTCATCAGCAGATAGAACTGCACTGAACCCATGAAAGGCAGTATCATAGGTGTACAGAATGGAAGGCAAGATTTTGTTGCCATCGAATGAGGTAGGGTTTTCGGATTTGAATGAATCAACAATGGAGGAATACCAATGGTCATGGCTAGAGTAGGACTTGGGCATGAGGGACTTGTCCATGTGGACAATATACGTCGACCTATCTGCGAAAGACACATTGACATGCAGAGCCAACAGAAACAATGCAACAAGAGAGAAAATGAAGGGAAGAGGAACCCCATTGTTATGCCCCATGGTTTCTTTTAGCAACCAGAGCTTTGCTTGTGGAAGGATTTACAGTCTGCTGCTTTATATATATGGAAGTGAATTAGATATACCGAATTTCGGAAGTAACGAAGAAAATGCAGTGCAGAAGAAGCCAAAAAATTATCAAAAAGAGCCGGCATCTGTGTATCAGTGGCTTCAACTTCTTGTGCCAAACAAGAAACCTAGGTGTAAAATTATGAACTAGCTAAGTCAGTACATCACGAAAGAGTACGTATCTATATAGCTACCGATTATCGAACCGTTACTCAATTATTACAAACCACGGTTAAGATTAATTAAGAACGTGAGAGTGATACATCTATCATGTGTTTTAGGCCAGGTTAAACTTAAGACGCCAAGAACATAACCCATCTAATCAAGACAGATGGTTGTAAAAATGTTTGATTACTTAATTAGCATGCAGGCGGTCAAATTGTTTATTTTTTAGTATCCGAACAGAAGGGATTGAGGTGTTGATGTGTTGCCAAACCGGTCATGGCCTTGATGTGTTGATGTGTTCTCCAAAAAAAACCGGTCATGGCATGGCTAACGTCTTCTTGTCGTTGGATTATTAGCCCATGGACTATGTCCTAATTAATTCCAAACAGGATTTGGTGTATCAATATTCCAGAAACTCACAAAGCATACATTTCCAAAACGCCAGATACCAAACACCAAACGACAAGAACCAAATACAAACAGAAAACACTGCCAAACACTTATGGTTGATTCAATCGTCTAGGCCGGGTTTTGCAGTACTTCAGATTAAGCTAATATATGATCCTCGTCGATGAATTCATTGTTATATCAGGCAACAAACAGAAAAGACATATGTTAAAGCTAATCTAAGTTCAGCAAAAAGATCTATCTTGGCAGCACCTGAAAAAAAAAAACGAAGAAGAAAAATGTGCCAACAGAAATTAAATTAAACATGAACAAAAGAGATCAGATGACATATGTAACAAGTAAATCACATAGAAGTATAGAACATGTTCATTGTAGTGAATTAATTAACCTAACGGCAGACCCAGATTGTCACAATTTCGCAAAGTACGTGTACTAAACTGCTAAAATTCCAAATGCAAGTGCTAACATTCCATCGAAAAGAAAAGCATATCTTCGTAGAGTAGATGTTTGCGTTTGCAGTAATCTTGCATCGCATACTTGAGCAGCACGCTTTCGACTGATCTTGTTCTTTAACAAGAGCCTGATGCAGGATTCGTCGGTGATTGTTGGCCTTCCGTCATCCATTCCCACACTGCTCGTAAATCCCCTGCTGTTTAATTTCACAGATTATCTATGGATTTCAAACACCTTGTATACTTTTAATATGAACATTGATCACTATAGAAAACTTATTTGTTTTCGTTTATTCTTAGGTTCTAGTGTGACGGACTCATCCTTACACAACGAAACCACTTATTAAATAAGGCCGCACTACCATAATAATGAAGAATTAATTATCAATATCAAACACAGAACCTCGAGTGGTGTAGGAGCCCGCATGCCAGAAACATTAACAAACCAACCTCAAACGAAGAGGCCCAAGCAAAAGAAACCAATATGAAAGAGTGACCCAAACATGGGGGTGCAGATAGGCAAGGGGCTTGCTGGTTACGAACATTCAACCCTGTACTCGAGGTCCTGAGTTTCGGTTGTATAAAAATAACAGTCATGATTGGGGGTGGGGATGGATAGAAGGAGAGTATAGACGAAACCCGAAGCAACTCCTCAAATATCAAAAGATTACATTCATCCAGTTGCAGATTGTCATCAACACAACAATAAAGCAAAAAGTCACCACACATCTGCTGAATCCAAAATATTGTATCTAGATTTCCCAACAGAAATGAAACATGAACAAAAGAGGTCTTTCTTTCTCCATCAAACAAGCAGCATAGACTGTAATCTAGCCTAGGCAAATTTCACAAGATGATGAGTTAATTTAGACGTCTGCAGTAATCTCGAGTTACATGTTTAAGCTGCATATGGAGACCGGTAATGTAGGAGATGACAGAACCCTGTTAGCTCTGCACCTTGATAAGAATCATAGGATCCCCGTCTTTCTCAGGAGAAAGCCTGACGAGCGGTTCACTGGTGATTGCTGGTACATGATCGTCCATTCCCACAACGTTCAAACAAGTGTTCTGTAAAACCGCAAATGAAAATCAAGAAAATATGAATCAAGCACAGATATATTAACATTGTGAACTATTGCAGCCGCTAAAGCTACATCCATCCATATCAACATCTCATCTGTACATACTCTCTAATGTAAATTTGAACGATTTGTAATGCTCAAACCTTAAAGATGGATGTTTTATGTGCACATTACAAAGGTCAGACAGCATCTTTTGAAAGCATTTAACCAAACACCTAACCAGTTAAAGATGATATCTTTCAAATTCAACCAAAACATGAGATTTTGAGGACGAATGGGGATCTGAATAGACCATTTCACTCCTATTTTCGATACAAAATGCTGAATCGAAAGCATCGAAAAATAGGTCTGATTCTGTGCTAGCCTAATCAGCTCCTAGTATGGAAACCAAACCCCCCATACCAAATCACCGAAAACAAACCCAATCCACTCACCATAACAAAACAAAGCAGCAAAATAAACCAAAACAGAACAGAAATCTGCAGAAGTGATAGAAGGAAAGGATGGACTAGAGAGGAACAAAGATAATCCAACAAATTCAGAAAAGATTTCAACTCTCAAGTTGAAATAAGCCAACAAATTCAGAAACTTTCTCAAACCAAAACCAAATTTTTCAAAAACGATTTTACCTTTCTGCAGAAATGACTGTGAATGTGTTCTCCCAAATGAGATTCCTGCCATGAAAAAAGACATCAATACCAAGATACAAGAAATAAATTTAAAGAAAGCACAAATTTTAAAAAACACAGAGCAAAAAAAGATAACCTTTGTTTTTTTCCAGAGGAGAGTAAGAGAGAGCTTTCAAGTTTTTGAAGTGGGAAAATGTATGTCTCTCAGCCTCTCACCTGCTTTCTGCAAACATTATTGATCCTTCCTGCCATCATTTTTCCCTTTTGTTGTGTGAGCTTTTGTTTTGATGGTCCAATTTGTACAAGTAGTACCAAATATTTCCTTTTTGAGTCATCATTCGTGCGTGTTATCTCTGCATTCTGAAGGACCCTAGGAGGGAGGGAGGGAGGGAGGGAGGGAGGGAGAGAGAGAGAGAGCGAGCTAGGAAATCAAATTTCTTGTCCTCTAGTCAATTAACTGGTTTTTTTTTTTTTTTTTTCGAATGAATTAGTAGTTGGATTAATTAAGAATAGTGATATTCACACACTCTTGTTAACTTTTTGTCATTGATCTTCTTCATTCATTCGATCTAACGACCGAAAATAAGAATGTGTGATAAGTAAAAATGAGTGTGGATCGCACTACCCTCATTTAAAAGTGACAAGTTTAATAAAATATGCGAATGATTAAAACACACATTTTTTAGCCTCTCACACATATGTTTAATCATGTTCATTGATCATGTTTGATTTATTCAATCTGATGTTCAAACACAAAAGGAGGTGTGAGAATTGAGAAACTAAAAAAAGTATAAAAATGACCTTTCTATTTCTACCCACGTGAGAGAAATTTGCATAAAACATTCTGATCCATGATTAGCTTGATGGCCAAGCACTATACCCTACTCAAAACTCTTCTTCGACCCACATTATCCTTTCTCTACCAACCAGTCTCAAAACTCTTCTTCGACCCACATTATCCTTTCTCTACCAACCAGTCTCAAAAAATAACATGCCCAACGGCCGGCGATTCTTATTCTTGACATTGAGAGTGGCCGAGAGTTAACTTGGTGATGACAGTTGTAACTTGTCTTGTATGTGATCATCCATAGTTCCCATCAAAAAACAGAAACAGCCGATGATTATTTTATCCATGTGCTTTGGTAAATTGGTAAATGGGACAGTTCGGCCTTGGTCAATTAATTTAAATTGGCTTGGTTTTCCCGCCAACTTTGCTTACTGCCACCATCTCCTGCTCTGCTGCAGGCTGCAGCTGCAGCAGCACTACTTAATGAAAGAAAAGACGTCCAGTTATTACTACCTAGTACTATCTTTCACAAAAGAGGGAATTACACAATCCACAAGGCAGAAGGCGGATCACATTGTAATTACCACTTTACCAATAAACTAAAGGGGGTCCTTGGCCGTTATCCACAGGGACCCTTGGCCGTTAGATCTTTGACCGCACATCCAACCATATATCTATATTGTACATGTCATACACTAGAGTATAACAGAATTATCGTAAATTAGAATAGGTGTTAGTACAATGGTATTGAAATAAATGAATAATGGAACTCTCCTCAGGTTGTTCGAGCACACAAAGGGATTAATGATTAGTTAACTATGACGAAAAATGCTACGTTTTCTTATCACTAAGGAAGAATGTCATCGGTTCTCATTCCGGAAAGAGTCCAAGTAAGTGACTTAACTGAAAATGTACCTTCCATCTAGAGAAGCCTGTTCCTTCTAAATTTTATTACAGGAAAGACGCATTTTTATAGTGTTCAATCAACGTGATCGTTGATTTTCCTAAATCAGATTGAAAACAGGAAAATAGATAAACCTAAATTAATGAATGTTCTGTTTCCTACAGGCCAGCCAATACCTTTGAAATGAACTTTGATGAGGTTACGTTTCCAAACAGATGAGTTTGAAAATCTCTACTTTCCAAGTCCAACCACCATTCACCAATGCATTTGAAATTTATATCACTAGATGCAATCCACCGAAAAAATAGTCTGAAAACTTAGCTTAGACCAACACAGAAAACATTTTTTTAAGGCATTAATGTTTTTTAGAATGCAAGGGGTTTCTGATATCCTAAAATGTACACACTTCGATAAAGGTCTACAATTTGACGTTCTTAAAGAGAATAACGGCTTCTTTACCCAAGAAATTTTTAGGAGATAGGGTGCTAAGATTACTTGTCAACTTATTTGAGCACTTAGAAACAAGAGACAACACGACAAGATAGTTTAGTTATATTTCCCCGCAATTGACAAGACATCATCTTTCCATCTTGCAAACTTACCCTTTGCTAACTGGCATTATCGCGTCAATCAATTTCCTTACAAATACTGAAGTTTTTCTTTAATCAGAATAATTGATTATTTTCTGGAAAAACTAAAGTAAGGGTGAACTTGTAAATCTAGACTCTTGAACAATCCTATCTTTATCACTACCACCCAAATTGGAAGAAAATAATCGTAAACTCTTGCCCGAGAACACAATATGATATCTGAACTGAATCATACTACATGAAGAATCATAGAGTGCCACAAAATATACTGAAAATCATAATGGAAGCATACAAAATGGAGGATGTTTTCTCCTACCTGTAGCATCAAGATTCAGTATCACGCCATGGCCAAGCTCAGTCACTTCATTTCAATGGGGGCGAGCCACTTCTTCTACAATAAAGCCCTGTGATCTCCAGACACTAAACTCGAAGATTCAGTATCGGCCTCAAGATGAACGATCATATAGGATTGTGGGTCTCTTTCTCTTATATGTTAATATATGACAAGCAAAGAGGTGGCTTTTGGGTCTCCTTCTCTTATATGTTAACATAGAACAAGGATTGAGTTTTTTGGGCCTTCTCTTATATGTTACCATGGACTGATTAACCGTGCTCCTTTTCCTGTACTTGAAGTAAAAAGGATCAAGTTTAGAATTGCGCCTTTTGTCTTTCAGCGTTGTAACACACACACATTCATCTAGCTCTTGTTTATTGAGAGCATCAACGCCATTGGAGCTGCTCCCTTGTCCTTCCATCAACAGCCCGTCATCGTCCTCATTCTCCTCTTCGATATCCAGCTTCAAACAACCAACAGCAGTCCACGAATCACAAACACACACACTCAAATTCGGCGAACACAGCTTCTTAGCAGAGCTATTCATGGCAGCCAAATGCCCATTATCATCATCATCGTCATCGTCATCGTCATGGACATCCGCATCCTTTGAGCCTTCTTCAGCACCAGACACATCATGAATTGTCCTGCCATCCAGCACGGCCGAAACCCTATACTTCCTCAATCCCAAACAAGCTCTCCCCTTTCCACTCCTTCGCGCCTTCTGACTCCTCATAACCCCTCTCCACCGTGCCAGCGACTCCGGCAGCCAACAATCGGCGCAAACCCCAACCTCCAACGCCAAGCAAGAATCCTGAGACAACAGCGCAATCCCTCGATACTCAGAATCGCAATGCCTGTGTACTCTCCGGTTACACTGGCAGCAAATGAAGGAGTCGTCCTGCGACGGCGAAGTGGCGGCGAAGCAGTAGGAGCAGAGCTCCGATGACTCGACCCGCGAGAGGCATTTCTTGCAGAGGAGGACGACGCGCCACTCGCTGTAGAGGATGTGAAGCTTGCTCTTGGAGCTGGCGTTGGCAATGTCGACTCTCAGGTGGCAACAATGGCACTCCGACAGATTCGGCAACTCTCTGGTTTTCTTCGTCGATTGCGAGTGCGGATCTTCGTTGTTCGTCATTGAAGCATTTGGCAGCGACGATGATTCGCTTTGAACCAAAAGGGGGTTTATTTTGTTGTAAATTAGGGTTCAAATCAAGCTCTATTGAATGTGCCGGCCAAGACGACGCCGTCTTGGTGTATGCTTAATAGACCTTTTTGTTTGTATGCCCCTTGTGCTATGGTTAACTTTACATTTTTCCCCTTGAACTTGCAATTGTGTCAATATGCCTAGTGTGATGATGTTTCTAAATTACCAAAAATCGTTCATTCTATTTGTAAAGTTACTTCATAGTCAAGTTTGTCACAAAAATTATTAACTTAGATGTTGTGAAATTATAGGTAAAATAAAGAAAATACCAAGTTCGATCTAAATTTTAGCTCCACATCCAGACTTAATTTTCCGCTTACCAAAACATAAACAGATGTTTTAAAAAACGATTTACAAAGTTTTCAAAATGGATATCAATTCTGATTTCATAATCGAATTGATGTGGTCCTTGCATTATTGAAACTTTCACTTTCGTCCTTGAATTTGTAATTGTGAGAGTTTACTGCCTCATGTACATTTGTGCTTTGTCCCATTTCACATTAATTAAGTTAATGACTTTCTCAATCAAGATGATGAATATAAAACGATATATCACGTGTTATAATATAAATGAAAGAAATAGTTGATATGTCACACTTTAAAGTATAATTTTATAATGACTTCACTTAAACAATGATAAGGTATATCGTCTTATATTCCTGTTACACTAAAAAGTCTCTCGAGGGAATGAGATAGGGCACAAAATGAAAGTACTTGGGGCCAAGGTGCACAATTGAAATTTTAGAGGGAGAAAAGTGAGAGCCTGTTTGGTATTCTACCGAATCCAATTTTTTAAACTCAAAAACAAATTTTTAGTTTTAGGCCTTAAAAACTTGTTTGGTATGAATATTTTTAAAAACTGAACTCAAGATTAACTTAAAAATATAGTATATTCTCTAAAAACACAAAAAATGAGTTTTTAAACTTAAACTCACTCATTTTTTTTTCTCTCACTCCAAAGCTATCTCTCTCTTTTCTTCTTTCTCTCTATCTTCTCCTTTTTTTTACCTTTTTCGTCTCTCCTTCAATCCGCTCTCATTATTTTCTCAGTTTTTTTCTATCACTCCTCTTCCTTTTCCTCTCTATCTCCTCCGATCCTCTCACTTCTTTCCTCCTCTCTCCTCTTTCTCTCTCAACCCTCTCTTTTTAGATCTCTTTGTCTAGTTTAATTGTAAAATTTAAAATTTTTAAATCGCATACCAAACAAGTTTTTGAGTTTTAAAGAAAATTATTTTCAAAAAAATTTTTAAAAAAATTTAAAAAAATTATAAAAATTTTCAAGTAAAATACCAAACAACCCTAGAAATTTTCGTAATAATACGGGGCGCATAAACAAATAAGCCTACAGAACGTGGTGATAAAATCCGTGAAAACACCAAAATACCCTCCGAAGAAAAAGAAAGGAAGAAGAAGAAGACGCCGCCGATTTTTACAGAGATAGTGAGCGAACGACGGGGAGAGAGAGAGAGAGAGAGAGAGAGAGTGACGATGGAGGAGAGAGTGGAAGAGGCAGAACCAGAACAGCAGCAAGAGGAGGAGCAGGTAGTGAATCCATGGACGGTGTCGGCCAAAGGTGGCGGGAAAATCGACTACGACAAGCTCATCGACCAGTTCGGCTGCCAGAGAATCGACCAGCAGCTCGTAGATCGCATCCACCGCCTCACCGGCCGTCCTCCCCACGTATTCCTCCGCCGTGGCGTCTTCTTTGCCCACAGGTCCCTTTCTCTCTCTCTCTAAAGTTTACATTTTTTTTTCTGAAAATTTTGCAAAAAATTGAATTGGGGATCGAATTTCGAATTTATGTGTAATGTAGGGACTTGAATGAGATTCTGGATGCCTACGAGAGGGGAGACAAGTTCTATTTGTACACAGGAAGAGGACCTTCCTCCGAGGCTTTGCATTTGGGGCATCTTATCCCCTTCATGTTCACTAAGTAAGCTCCCCCTGCATTGCTATCTGATTATCTGATGTTGGTCTTTTATGAAACTTTTTATCTTTTCGGTTTTCGTGAGCGTGATCTTCAGTATCTGTGTGCATTATGTTGGATTTGGCGATTGGTCGCGTGTTGATATGAAGTAAACTTTCTAAGGGTTTATGAATTGAATGCTTTGTGCAGATATTTGCAAGATGTCTTCAAGGTTCCTCTCGTTGTACAACTTACCGATGATGAGAAGTGCATGTGGAAAAATCTGACTGTGGAAGAGAGCCAGAGACTTGCCAGGGAGAATGCTAAAGACATTATTGCTTGTGGTTTTGACATATCAAAAACCTTCATCTTCTCCAATTTTGATTTCGTTGGTGGGTAAGTATCAGATATATAGGCTTAACTCCATTTTGAAGTTCATATTAATTCGTGTTGATACTTGTTATGTATGTGAGTTTATGCTTCAGTTTTGAATTTGATCAACGGATTTAGTGGATTACTAAGCTATTTGCTTCTCTGCCCATGTCAGAGGGGTTTGAGATTTTATAATCTTATCAAAGCCCTTTTTTTGGGTTGAAATTGATTGACACTCACATGAGGTCCCATTTTTCTTGAACCGGATGCCCTTGATGATTTAGTTGGCCGCAAACTGCTTGACAAGCTACGATAATAATTAGGAAGCTTTTTAGTTTCAAACCTAACAGGGCTTGATTCTATCATGAATACGTTATGTGTGGGTGTGTGTGTTTGTGTGTGTGTGCACATGTTGTATCACTTGCTTGCTGATCTTATGTCTAATTTCCTGTGCAGTGCCTTCTACAAGAACATGGTGAAGGTTGGAAAGTGTGTCACATATAATAAGGTGATTAACAATCTTTTCCCCCCATGGCGAAATATTTTCTTTGTCTACCTCTTTGTTTGAGTTTTTGTAATAATTTTATGAGTTTCGGATTTAATATCCAGGTTGTTGGTATCTTTGGTTTCACTGGAGAAGATCACATAGGAAAAGTTAGTTTTCCACCTGTACAGGTATTTTCCTTGGCTACGCTGCTTATCACATGAAGAATTATGAAATTTTAACTGTTTGTTGCTGACTAGCTCCACAAAATGACTGAAGCTTGTATCTGTTTTCCTTTTATATCTTCACTGAAACCTCAACTCCTGTAAGTTCGATTTAGCTCATAAGGGCTTATTCTTTCCTATGAGCTCTTATTGTTGACTTGCTCCAGTCAACTGTACAATTCTTTCACCAGTGAACATCTTTCATATTTTCCGTCATATAAAGAAAACAAAGCATTGCTTAGTCCAAGTCAAGCCTCCACCAAGAATATTGACTTTTCTGAAACCTTCAGTTTGATGTTCTGTATCGATTGTGTGACTATGTAAGATGACACATGGATGCGACATGTGCTGTGATACATAAAAGGAGATCCAATATGGTCGTGTTTTAATGCAGGCAGTTCCCTCATTTCCAAGTTCATTTCCTCATCTCTTCTCTGGCCAAGACAATCTTTGTTGCTTAATACCTTGTGCAATTGACCAGGTATGCATGATATGGATAATTCTCAGCTATGATATACGTGTTTTTCCCCTTGGCTAAATGTTTACGGATCCACCTTACCTATAAATGCAGCACCTTTTCAGAGTATAAAATAGTTTTAGTAACTTTGTGTGCTAGTGCATTTGATTTAACGTTGTTTTCTTTCTTTTGTTTATTTTCTAATACCATGATTTATTTGTTTGTGATTTGTCAAGGATCCTTATTTTAGAATGACACGAGATGTTGCTCCACGAATTGGATATCACAAACCTGCATTGATCGAGTCTTCTTTCTTCCCTGCCCTGCAGGTACTTTTATGATTTTGGCAAAGAAAACTTATTTTCTACTGTTAGTAGCCTATGTTGTGATTTCTGATACCTTTTCTGGAATGTGGATACTTGCAGGGAGAGACAGGAAAAATGTCGGCTAGTGATCCAAATTCGGCCATATATGTAACTGATGCTGCAAAGGAAATTAAGAACAAGGTTTGCATTTACGTGGCCGTAGTCTCACAGTGCCAATCTTCTAACTGAAATCACAATCCAAACGGTCCAAAACTCTTCAAAATTAACCTAAAACAAAGAACTTCTGTGCATATGCAGATAAACAGGTATGCATTTTCTGGGGGACAAGATTCGGTAGAGAAACATAGAGAGCTTGGAGCAAATCTCGAGGTATTTGGATTCTCTCGCATGTTAGTAATAGAAATGGGCCCTCCCCGATTGGCATGACAGTGTAATTTGTTGCTGGGTGTGCTGCCTTATTTCCTCATTAGATTGTCCGAGCAAGAAGGCAAATTTACATGCCGATTTGATTTCATATGTTATGAGATTTCTTTGTTAGTACTTGGTTTGTGCCTTGTAACTTATTGAGGAATTAATTTATCTTCTGGAAATTATTCAGGTAGATATTCCATTCAAATATCTAAGCTTTTTCCTAGATGACGATGATAAACTCGAAGAGATACGGAAGGTGAGACTGATCGCCCTAGTGAACTTATTTGTTTTCTTTGTCAACATATTCTTTTTGCTAATTCACTGGGGATTGCTATTAGGAGTATGGTTCCGGACGCATGCTAACAGGTGAAGTGAAGCAACTTCTTGTTGAAGTTTTAACCGAAATGGTAGAAAGACATCGTAGGGCTAGGGCTGCTGTGACTGATGAGGTAAGCTTCTAGCATTTTTAGACAATTGGCTGTTCTGTAAGTTATTCGTTGGCGATGAAAGCGTGGTGCTTGATCCCTGAAAGTAAACATTTTGAACTATATGCTCAGGACTTACGGAAATGTTTTTGCATATTCTGCAGATGGTGGATGCATTTATGGCAGTGAGGCCCCTACCGAATATGTTCAGCTAAAGTCGAGGCTGAGAAGCTTACACACACATCGTATAATCACTTCTCAAATTGAAGCTTAGCATTCAACTCTTTACTAAATTGAGATTTAATTGTCTTTCGATTATCGATGCAGCTACGCCTGTTTTCTGTAACAGTCGTGTGAATTCGGACTGCATTTCAGCTGAATACGATGGTTTTAAGCTTGCATTTGTACGCTATTTTTCGATGATAGCTGTTTGTTCACATCATCTCCATTAACTTTCAAATGAAACAGAGTTGTTAATTGCAGAATCTGTATGAGCGAACACAGTTAAACAGAACGACGACGCAATGAAGCTGCAGCGTTTAGCAATCACCGGAAGTTTATGCCGATAGAACTGAGAGATGTGTATCCCCGGACAATTATGATACGATCTAAGAGGATAAATAGATTGAATGTGCAAAAGAAAACGAAAACGAATCCTTATTTCGCAATTGAAGTAGTTAAATTAAAACATACATTAACATTACTTCCACACAACCGATTCTACTGCGTTTTTGAACAAGTGAAAGGGAAAAAAGGAACCGAAATCTAGGGGTACGAATGATTTTAAACAGTCTAATTCAGGTCAATGCGGCAGGGTACATTTCTTTTGAGAATGCCCTAACATATGACAGCGACCGCATTGAACCACCCTCTTCGGCCTCTTGAAGTTTTCTACACGAAGGACCTTCTTCTTGGGTCTTCCAGGTGGCCGTCGGGTCTTGGGTGGGCGTATCATGATATCAACATTGGTGCTTCCACCCTCTGTTCCGTCGCCTGGCTCCTTCCACAAGTTCTTATCCGGAATGGGATGAATCATCTGCGAATAGGTCTCTCGGTAACTTGCTACTGTAAAGCAAGGCTCAGCAAACAAATGGACATTGTGTCCACAAGACATAAGTGCAGCAGCAGCATGTGCACAAGGTAGACCATATATATGCCAACGGCGACAAGAGCAAACACGAGTTTGTATATCCACAATATTTGTCCGCTCCGTAGACACAATCTCAAATTCAACTTCATTTGCACGAAGTACTTGATAGCATCGAGCATCAGCCATTGCCTCTAGAATCCGCTTCTCAGCAGATGGTACTAAAATTGACGTCCATCTCATTCCCGTATCCCGGCGGTCATTATACCACGATGATAACTGATCACGAATATGCTCCATCATTTGCACAATAGGGAGCTCATGGCATTCAAGAGCCCAATTATACAACAACTCCGTAACACCGAGAGTAAAATGGCCATATCGCACTCCTTCAAAATATGCTACAGCCCAAAGTTGGGGAGGGAAGTGTTGAAACCATGCAATCACGTCTTGTGAAATCTCTGTCATCTCTGCAATCTTGCTGTCAAATTCAACTGCAGTGAGAGCATAAACAGCATTCCAGAAGATATTCACCAACTTCGCATTCTTAAACGTATCACGAAAATTTTCACTAACATGACGCAGACAAAAACCATGGAAGGCACTAGGAAAATGGGTTTCCACCGCCTCTACAACACCCCTTTGTCTTTCAGAGAGTATTGTTAGTCTAGGCATGTTGTCAGTGTTTACTCCAAGAAGCTTTCGCAATTCTGACATAAACCACATCCAATTTTCATCGCTTTCCACATCAACAATAGCTATTGCCAGTGGAAATAATGTATCATCAGCATCAACAGCTGCAGCACAAAGTAAGGAACCCAAGTATTTGCCTTTGAGGTGCGATCTATCAATTTCCAAAAGTGGCCTACAAGCATGTATAAACCCATATATTGATGCACGGTAAGAAATGAAGAGACGGTGGAAGCAATTTTCTTGTCCAGTGGTAAAAACTGAAGCGATGCTTCCAGGGTTGGTTTTCTTTATTTGCTCACAGTATGCAGGAAGAAGCTGATACCCTTCTTCAAAAGTTCCATGAAGTGCTGCCATGCTACGCTCCTTGCCACGCCAAGCTTGCATGTAAGAAACAGCAACTCCATGCTGATCCCGGATATCTTGCAGGATCTCTTTTGGTTTATACCGTGGATTATCCCGAACCCGTGATTCTACAGACCTAGCAACCCAACCTACTGATGCTTGCTGATGATGAAGGTTGAGAACTCCTTCACAGGTGTGCTCACCATGCAGGGTTCTTACTGTAAAGGTTGGACCTCCGGGACATTTTGCCACATGGACACGCCATGGGCAACCTTCTTTGGAGCACTTCGCTATAAACCGGCTGCGATCTGATTTCACTATACGAAGATCAAAATGTTGTACTAGAGCAATGTTCTTCAATCTTCTTCTGCATGTTTCAACATCAGGAAATTCTTGCCCAATAGCCAAGTCTAAAGCATATTCTGTCAAAGCATGAGAATTGTTCTGCACAGCTAAAGATTGATCTTCCATGTATCCACGACAGTAGCAGAAGTTTCACATGATTCTAACAGTTCCCCTCATCCCGACACAGATTGATGATTCTTCTGAAAGGGTGTATCGTAAACACTGCACTACATGAGACCTCCTGTTATATATGGATACAGCATAGGAACACAAGAACAAGGAAGCAGCATTTTTCTGTGTGTGCATGCGTGCATGTGTGTGCACATAACTGATCAACAGGAGACCCAAATGGGAAGAATCATACCTGTCCTAACTAATCAATAACCATAAGTGAAGGGCGGTTGTGATATAGGATAAGAGCATTTCAAGGTATATCCTTTGACCCTGTGGTGTTGATGAATTACATCTTTTACAAGGATAGAAACATTATTACCACGCCTATGAAACAAAAAAACAAAAAATACCATGAGCAATTTTATTAATAAATGGTATCAACTATTGAACAAATTTTGAAGACACGGAAAAATTCACTTATCGGCCCAATTTTGAAACTTTGGATCCACCGGTATTAAGATTACTTGTGTTCGAGCCACATGCAACAAGCCATTCAAATGAGGGGTACACCATTTTTATGCAATTAACTGTACTAAAACTCCGTATCACTCTTGCTCCAATAGCAGACTCAATTTTCATTTGCCACATAATCTACGGATAACACGGTTAAACTACCTAGTAGCTGTAAGACCTCGCACATTTCTCACTGCTACACACAATTTCTCATCCCATCATCCTCAGACTGAAGGCAAAAACAGAAACCGAAAAGCACGGCTTAAGAAAAGTCTTATCCAACAGAATGTAGGTTAAATTTGATGAACCCTCAGACCCGACTCGACTGCACAAAAGGCAAACGTCACCGGAACAGTCAATGTGGCCATTTGAGTCACCGACAAACTGGTGATTACGTACAACACTATAAACTAAATTACTCATAAGCCATTAAATCAAAATGGAGCATTCTGCCCCCAAAATTATTCCCAACTCAAACCCAGGACTTGAAATTTTACAACAACAACAATCAACAACCAGAAATTCCCAAACTTTTTTTCCAAACGACAATTTGGGAATCTCAGAGCGGCGGATCCAAACACTAATCAATCCCAATACCCCAAAAGGCTTTTCATATAAGCACTTTTACGAAGTGGGTTCTTCTCCTTTTCAACAATCATTGCACAAAACGATTAAAGTCAACAACTTGTGCTTTAATTTCTAATTTGAAGTGAGTGGTTCTTTTGTGGGATGTGGTGGAATATAAATATCAAATTATGTGAGATTAAAATAGAAAAACTAGAGAAGGAAAGGGAGGAAGAAATGGAGAACCTGGTGGGGGTGAGAGCGAGAAGCTGCGTTCTGCTGAAAGTGCTTTTTTCCGCTTTTGGGTGTTCTTCGTTCTCTAAGCTGGAGTCCGGCAATTCGAGAGGAGATAGACCAAAACCTTTCCTCTTTTTGTTTTTTTTTTTTTTTTGTTTTTTTTTTTTTTCCGTTTTGAATTGTACGACAAGTTTTTATCATTTATAACTAAAATTTAGTCGTAAATTCACAAACATCATTTTTATAAAAAATTAATTAATTAATTAAATTAAATACAGAGAAATTTTTCACTTCAATAAACTTGAATACCTTTGAAATAAAAAACTCAGGTCCCATTAGTGTTCAAAATAAATCTTCTCTCCAATCCCTATACACCATGAAAGGTCGTGGAAAAGATGTAATTTCAATTTTTTTTCTTTTAAAGTCTAGGTTTTTAGTTAAAATAGTCTTTAAAATTGGCATAACTCCTCATTTTAGTATCTGACATTGAAAATCGATAAAAATATTTCCTAAATTTGTCTATAGTTAATCATTTTGGTTATTGCATGAACATTGTTCGTTAAATTGAAAAGCAAGTAGAGAGACTGATCAGACAAAATACCCTCACTTTATCGGTGGTGCCAACTCTAACATTGGCTGGGGTCGGCTGCCAATTTCCCCTTCTTCTTGTCTATTCTTTTCCCCTTTTCTGCTGCTTACTCCCCCTCCTCTACATCTTGATATGTCATCCTCTTCATACCTTACTAGTCTCCCTTCCTCTTGTTCATCTAAGCTTCGATCTCACTCATCTGAGCTTCGTTTTTCAGTCATACTTTCTCTCAAGATAGTGCATAGAGTTCTAGTTCTTCAACCGTCTCAGGTGTTCCCAACACCACCACCTTTTGATGTCTGTTGGATTTGGCATTTTTGCTCATGATTTTCCATGGGCTTCTTTTTCTTGATAGCCGACTCGTTTCTTTCAATTGCTGGTTATCCTTATTTCCAGTGTTCCAAGTAATGTCAGGTGATGAGTGTGGATTGTGCAGATCGAAATGCACTGTTTTAGTGGAGGCGAAAATAGCAGATTTCTTGGTTGTGTGTTTCTTTGTCTTTGAGCTTTAACTATTTGGCTGGGCTCTTATTGGTTGGTTGCAGATCGAAATGCATTGTTCCAGTAGAGGCGACAACAACAAATTTCTCGGTTGTGTGTTTCCCTGTGTTTGGGCCTTAACTACTTGACTGGACTCTTGTTGGTTGGTTTGATTGACCCCTTTTTTGCTTGTTTATGTTTCTTTGTTTTTTGACTTTTTGCTTGTATATCAGTTTCTTTGTGGTTAATAATAATTTCCTTCACCAAACTAAAGATTATACATAAAAACCAAACTCACTCTTCACAAGTCACTTTTCTATGGAACCGATAGCTTTATATTTCTATAGTACCAACACAAAGACAACAACAAAGCTAGCAATTGACTATGACATTGACACGTTTCAATTGCGACGTTTTCCAAATGCGAAAAAAAAAAGATAAAAAGGCAGACACCTTTTTTAATCTGAATTACCATAGCTCAATTTTATAATATTTTGAATTCAAAAGGACAATATTACCCTACTGCCACTTGATTTCTACATCCTTTTAGGCCTGACCTCAATCCCTTGAAAAATGAGGCCACCCTTCCACTGTCCACCCCTAACCTCCAAGCAAGTCATCTCCAACTCCCCACCTTCACCCCCTTCACAGAAGAACTCCCCCAGCTCTATCTCCAGCCACCCGTCGTTCCGCTCTTTCGGGTACTGGGCCTCGTTGATCTCCCTTGGCTGGAACGACTGGAACGACTGGAGGCCGGGAATGTGTCTGCGGTTGAACAGGCCAATACGCCAAGGCCCGGCAATGTGGTAGCCCTGACCTTGGGTTTGACCTCTCTGCCCGTCCAGAAACACCACATGTTTCGTGGGCTCCTGCCCAATTAAACCCACTGTGACCTCCACAGGTTGGTTCCCAAATCCATGAGCCCCTGCGGTTGACTTGAACACAAGAAAAGCTTTGTAAAACGTGGATGGGGACAGCATCCGTGTCCCAATTTTGCCACGGATTTCAAGCCAGCACACACTAATAAGCTCTGCCACCTCCTCAAACCTGTTTGTTTACAATAACAGAGAGTTTATGTAACAAAAGCATGGAATTGTTATCGCACTCCAAAAATTATCTACAGTCATCAATCACGAGGATGGGATGCAAAACGGATGACTATTTCAAAATGCTGATAACAATTTCTTTAAAAGAAAAGAAGAAAATTTTAAGAGACCTCGAGTCGGGGACAGAAATCCATCTCCAGTAGTGAGGAGTGTCAGCCCAAACAATCGAAAGGGCCCTTGCAGCAATCATGTAGCATTTCTTCCCACTCCATTTGTCCAGCGAAAAGCTCTGCATTATCATTCCAATTAAAACTCGGGATCTTAGAACAGTGAGAAATAGAAAACGCTTTTGAAAAACAAACAAAAAAACCGGAAACAATAGAATGCATTCGAATTTCTAACTCAGTTTTTCAACCGTTTCATCTTACTTCTTCTAATGCTAAAAAGAATTGAACACTATTCCCTCAACCATCTGCACTTCAAAGTGAATAATTCACAATTTGTTATTAGTGGTGGATCCAGGATTTCAAGCTCGGAGGGTCCGAACATAAAAGCTCAAAAAAAGAAAAAAAAATATTTGACTAATTTGGTTTCGTATCACTATTTTCTACTGAATTTGGTTCATTGAATAAATCAAGATTAATCTTAAAGGTAATAAAACGAACAAATTCTCCTCAACAACATAACGCTACAAAGATAAAATTTGTTAATGTAGCATATATATTATTAACTGGGAGTTACGACTAAAGTTTAGGATTAAAAAACTTATATGAATTTGGAAGAAATAAAATTAGGCAGCTAAAGGCGGTGGAAGGGCAAATGGTGGTGGGGAATAGGGTAACTTGGGTTCAAAGTTGGAAGGTCGCGATGATTGGGTCTGGGTGTTCTTAAATATAATTTGAAGATACTAGAAAAGACCGGGGTTCTCGGGCTCTATAGAGAAAACAAAGAATTTTAGTTTTTACATTTTTTATAACGACCTGACTTAAAAACGTTGTCGATTTGACTAGGTTTTTTAAAACAAAAATTAAAAACCTATTCTTTTTCTTTGTTATAAGCACTGCTGCTTGCACATTCATGAAGGCAATAAGCCTCTCCACTGCATCTGCCCAAATTGTTGGAAGGTCTTGAAGGTCGATCACAAATATTTCTTCAAGCTTCCAAAGGGTTCCGAGACCCCTGGATCCCTATATAGATCCGCCGGTGTTTGTTATGTAGTTACAAAAAAAGAACGAGTGCTAAAATCGCTAGACAACTTTTAAACTACGAAGTACAAAACAAATGGGCATGACATCCCATATGTCATCACAATTTTGTCAACATTTTTCCTCCATTTTTGTCACATCTCATCAATATTCACATCACCAAATGTACACAAAATATTTGGTCCCACCGCCTACTCACTCTCTCCTCGGCCAACAACAAAACCTATGATCTTCCTTGGCCAACAGCAAAACCTATGATCTTGCCGGCCTCCAAAGTTCCAAACTTTGTACTTTCCAGTACGGAAATTTCACGACAAATCCATATCAACTAAGACTCTATCACATCAGTGAAACAGAACGCTAATCCACAACTAAAATAAACAAACAATCCCACAAAAGAAAAGGAGCAAAGGAGAAAAGTAGTAAAATTACCAACTTGCCCTGTTCGATGAGAACAGGGTTGTCGCACAGAGCGAGGAAAAGCTCCTTCTTGGTTTTGGAAGTGGAGGAGGGAGACACAAGCGGCGGCCGTGAGGGCGACGAGGAGGACAGGATAGTGTGGATCTCGGGGGGAAGGAACTTGTCCCAAACGGCGTCGGATTCGGCGGCCGACCTGAAACTCCTCGAAACCGACGACATTGTGCCCGCGTCCCGAGGCGTGGTCAGCGAGACAACGGTGGCTATGCATCCCTCCGGCAAGGCCTGCAGATCCATGGGGTCGCCTCCGCCGCCACCGACATCATCTGTTTTCTCCTGGTTTCCGCCACCGCCTAAGAAGAACTTGCACATTTTTGTGATTTTAATGGGTTCCTCGGACAATGGAAAATACGTTGTAATTTGTTTTCGTATGTTTTCTGATTGCAGAGGGCCGGTTGTGTATTTATAGAGTGATGAATGCTTAGCCGTTAAGTCTCTCCCGCTGTGAAAGGGTCTTAGGATCCTCCTGGACCCTACCACAAAAAAAATAATAACATTAGAATTTACAGAGTTTTAACGAAAAATTTTCGGTACTGTTCATTTTAATGAAAAATCATATTTTTACACTAAAATATCAATTATGATACTATTTATTTTATTTTTTATTTTGTTCTTATCGTTAAAATTTAAAATTTTAAAATTATTTTCATTAGTTTTTTTTTAAATTTATTATGCTCAATTTTTTTTAGGTCAAATATTAAATTTGTTAGATTAGATATGGTTTGAACTTACGCGAACGCCGTAATGCAAGAATAAGATTCATGACTGTGATAGGCCCACTTGCCAAATCTTGTTAAGTTAAAGCTATAAATAAAAAGGTAAAAGAAAAAGGTAATATCTTTTTCCCAAATCAGAATCCGTTTTATTTATTTGACTTCCCCTTTTTATCATTATTTTTTTAAAGAAAAGTGAAAAAGAACATTCCATGTACTTTATCTTCTGGTTGTGACAACAATCCACGAAGAATGTTACAACAATTATTCATACTCAAAATTATTAGTTATCGATTTATAAAATTATGTTTATAGTTTTCGTTCATATTATGAAATATTTTATAAAAATTGTCTCTGTGAAAAATTAAACCTAAGTTTAATCATCAAATTGTATAAAACAAATTAACAGTATTAGTAAAAGTATTACGAACCGTTTATATATTTTTCATGGTAGGTTAACTAAACAACTTTAGTTTTAATTCATATTTTGCAGAATGATCTTTATAAAGTAATTCATAATATGATTGATTATGATCATAAGCATATAATTTTGTAATTCGAACATGAAGAATTTTGAATAGGAGTCCACACTCATCCTTAAACTCTGCAAAAGAAGATATTAAATTTGCTACTTTACATCGGTCGAGTCCCCTACTTACAAATTGAAAACAACACTTTTAGTCTACAGTAACTCTCTTGTTAGAAACGGATCTTGCACATTTTTTTGGTTAAAAACGACTTGTAGTCTTTAGTTGGAACTTGGAGATGGCGTAAAGTTACCTTAACACAAAACTCACATTTTCTTATATAGGTAAAAAATGGTGATGAATTTGAATTTTCTTATTTTCTTTTCAATGCACGAACCTTAATTTTGAAACTTTAATTTGAGTCTTAAGTCTAAGCCTTATATTGGAGAAGGAAAGAAAGTATATTTGTGTTAATTACTAATATAATTTTTGTGATATATTAAAATACAAATTTGAATATGAATTTGGCAAAAACTTAAATCAGAATTTTGAGATTCTAATCGAATAAAGAAGGAAAAATAAATGTTTTTACCTAAATACAACATTTCTGCATTTGGGTCCAACATCTCAGTTATGTTATTGTTTGGACCCAAAATTACACAATCCGTCCGAATAATCGAAGTTGTTGAGTGAATGAAGTTCTAAACTGTTAGATGACTGAATCAAGATAATTTTAATTATTATTAGGGAATAATATCCTGATTTTTATCATAATAATTATCTCTAAATAATATATTGAATTATCAAAAACACAGTTGGGTGATAAAGTCGTGGTGATATAATGTCAATGTGGTTTAATACTGCTGCAATTTCGTGGAAAGATAGCATGACTGTCATGAAATGAGTCAGAGTATGGCAGAATGATTATCAAGTTCTGTGAGTCAGATAATGAAGGAGGCCGCATGCAACGGCATATTCCAGTAAATGGGTGATAAGATTTGCATGGATTATGCGTAAATTGGAAGAAAGCATGTGGCATGCATGGCTACACTCAGACAGATAAGGGGCAAATTAAAAAGAAAATAATGGTCTTGAATAATGATGACAAACCTAGGTAGGCTAGGCTGTGATGATAAGAAGACTTTTATTTGGATAGGCTTTTATGAGGTTTGGAAAATCACGAACATCTATCTGAAGGATATGCCTTGGTTTCTGACTTTGGTTCTGTGAAATAGAGTTGCAATTGGACTACAAAATTATCTGGCTATGCCAAACAAGTACATTAACCCTGTGAAGGCAACCGGTGACATCTTCAGTTTGGATAAACAACAATGTTGCCGTAGAATCAGGCGTTCCCGGAGCACCTTCAGTTTAGATAAACAGCAATGCGTCGAGGCCGACTCGTTATCTAACCAAGTCTCGATCGAGAAGAATTTTCGAATTCTTATTAGTAGAGGTCATCTTATTAGCCATCTCGACGAAGTGATGTGTTATAGGTTACTACATTGGGCACATTGAAAGTCGAATTTGATATTGAACTTCGCAGAACTAGCAGCCTTGTCTTCAGACTCTAGAACCCGAAGGCCGATGAGTGTTCCTTCCTCAGCTGCAGTCACAAGATCAAGAAGTCAGCAGCACGCTCAATGCAACATCAACACATTTTACTCCTTGGCCGTGCTTGGCCGACGAGTTGGCACGCCCTGCATACAATTGGAGGACTTAGTTAGCTTATTAATTACTCGGCCTACGCGCCACGTAGGCTTGTAGTTTTTAGGGTCAACAGTTACACAATGACAAAATTTGTAAGGATAATGTTTAGTGAAAACGAAAAAAAAGGATGAAAATTCTAGGATGGGTACTAGTTTAACCTATATGGGTGAATAGGTTCCAACTTAAAAATTCAATTCAATTTTCAGTTTAATTTTCATATTCACAACACATATCAAATTATCCTACACATATGCAATTACAACGATAAATGAAATGTGCACACAGGATGTAGGATTTAACGAGGCAAAATCCACTACTGGGAAAATCCTTGGGCTTTCAAGCCAAGACAAACACTAAGAGAAATAAGTACATAAAGACTTACAAAACTCATTAACTAGGCACGCATACTAGTAAACAATTTTATCTCCGCGCTTTGCTACTCGATCTCTCTTTAGTTTTTGAATGGAAGTGGAATGACACTAACCCTAACCTAATGCATCTATATATATATCGGTTAGATTAGAAAGGAGATAACAAAAACAAAAGCATACTAGTCGTAGCAAGTGATTGATTGCCTTGGTGTTAGAGTATTTCTTTTCAACCGAATTCATTTTGGATTCATACCTTCTCTCTCCTTAGGTTGTAATAAGAAAAAAGCGGTTCACTTGAGTCGTTCAACCGCCCCTTATCCCAGTGCTCATGATGTGTTACGGAATCTCTATCGTGCCGAGGGACCAAGCAAGGCATAGCTAATATCATAGGACCGGCTCGGTATCAACGACATACAATTTAGAATAGAAATATCGCTTTTATTAAAAAAGAAACATAAGTAAACGTAATGCTCCTTAAATATAAATGCCACTTTGGCATTGCTGATCATAATACTGGTGACGATAACCTCTAGGCTACATCAGCGAATGCTGAAACGTTCGTCAATCGTCAAAACGTTGAACAAAAAAAAAGAAGAAAGATGTATCGTCACACTAGTTGCGAGTAATTTGACCTAAGAACAACAATGACATATAGGTGAATGTGATCAGCTGGTTGTAACAATGCATTTGTCCCACTGCATTTAAATTTGAACTAGTCTCCCGTAAATTAGTAAAAGTTTTATATTATACCGGTGCATAGAATGCACCAATGTATTGAACGGCTTGATTTATAATTGGACTTTTACAATCTTTTATGGTAAAATCAATTAAAAATATGAAGAGTAACCAAAGTCTTTATAAACACACACACACACACATATATATATATATATATATATATTTCAATGCAAAATTCATTCTCAACAGTTTAGATCTTATAAAGTATTATAACAAAACTTCCAATTATAACATATCATAGTAAGTAATTTTGTTACACATTATTTCGTTTTATACAAACTATTTTTTTTTAGCATTGGATTAATTAAAAATCACAAAAAAACACATGCATGAAAAAGAAAAAAAAAATTAAATGTTCTAGAATCTTTCGTAGATTGTAATATCACTTTTGTCAAAGAAAATGACGATGGAAAAAATAAAATAAAAAGAAAAGAGGGTTTGGGAATTGAGACAACACAAAAAAGATTAGGATGGGGGAAGAATGTGAATATGATGAAGGAAGCATGTGGGGTGTTTTTGACGTGTCGAAGAGGGACTTTATATGTGTCGACTGTTTGGTTTGCATGTGCTCGCTAATTGCCGCCACGCATGTCACAATCCTTGTACTCCTTCTCCTCCTCCTCCTCCCCTGTACTAATCTTTTCGTCACTTTGCTTTGGCTTTGGCTTTGGGGTCGGAAACGCACTCACACCTTGTTTTACTTTCTATTTTCCACTTCACTCCCACATGTTTACTTGTTTCCTCAATATAAAATTAAAAGTAACAAAAGATGTTAAAAGGAAAAATTAAACAAATGTGAGTTAGGTTAGATGAGCAATCAGTGGCGAAGTCAAGAATTATTGAAGGGAGGGACGAAATTTGAAAAGGTAAAAATTGTTGCTGACGAGGTTTCATGTCATGAAAACATTCCATAATGTGCTCATTCACTGCATAATGAAACGTTCTTAGCAAGGGTAAAATGCTGTATGAAAAGGTATTGAGCCGTTGGAAAAACTTTTCGAGGAAAAAATTTGTCGTTGATCGTCGCAAATTCTTCTATTCAAATGACTTATTTTTTTTCTTTTCTGATTAGTCATCCAAAAAAACACATTTTCGACACCAATGACCTTTCAGTTTCGGTTAAATACTCGTCGAAGTCGAATTTGAAAAAGGTTAATAATCCTAAATTAAAGAGGTTTTTTGTCAATCCGGTGCAAATATAGTTTACAAGTTAGCTCATATAAGGTTCTCAAGCTCACAATGTCATCAATTTAATAAATCATCATCAATTTGGCCGAAGATAAAAATTAATACACTTATAATATATCTGTTGACCCTAAAAATTACAAAGCCTACGTGGCGCGCATGCCGAGTAACTAATGAGCTAACTACGTCCTTTGGCTGATACGGGACGTGCCAACTCGTCGGCCAAGCTCGGCCGAGAAGTACAATTTGTTGATGTTGCGTTGAGCGCGTTGCTGACTCCTTGATCTTGCGATTGCGGCCAAGGAAGGAACAAGTCTCGACCTTTGGATTCTTGAGCCTAAAGAAGGCTGCTAGTTCTGCGAAGTTCAATATCAAATTCGGCTTTCAGGGTGCCGAATGTAGTAACCTGGTAATATCTCACTTCACCGAGAAGGCTAATGAGATGACCTCTGCCAATAAGGATTCGAAAACCCTTCTCGACCGAGACTTGGATAGGTAACCAGTTGGCCTCGACGTAGTGCTGTTTATCCAAGGTGCTCCTCGGTCGGCTGATTCTACAGTAACAGTGCTGTTTATCCAAACTAAAGATGTTCGCCGGTTGCCTTCACAGTGTTGTTTATCCAAACTGAAGATGTGTTGGCAGAAAAGAAAATAAAAAATCTCAAGATGTTTGAGAGGTTTGCGCAGGGCAGTTGTGTGTTGAATTGGAGGTCCCCTTCTCATCCTAGTACATCCTGTATTTATAGAGCTTGTATGTTTGACCACATTGTATTATTGTATTCTGAGAAGTACGAAAGCTGCCAATAATATTCCTAAGAATATCTTCAAATATCCCCACGGATTACTATTCAAACTTGTTGAAATCATGCTATTTAGGCTTAGTTTGTGGCCACGTGCATGCAATCCCATCTTCAAATTAGTCTTTTGATTTGATAATGCCTAACAACATCCATCATCATCTCAAAAAGACTTAGGCTTCTTAAATGTCATCATTATCCAAGATCTTTATCTTAGCATTACCCTATGCTTTCAGACCAAGTGCATGCAACAAACTTGATATCAAACTTGGAAGATAAATCCAAGCTGCTCTAATCCGATGCACAGCTAACAACTCCAAATTAATTCGGACTGTTCCGCTTGCTTGGAGATATCTATCCCGCTTAAGAATATGTTAAAATAACTCATTAAAAGATAATTTTTATGGTAAAAACCATAATATTAGCCTTTAAAAATAGAATTATCCTTATTTTTCCATCCAACAGTTGGGAGCTATGCCCATTTCAACGACCTTGATTGCATGGGCCAATGATGTAAATTTGGGTCCAAACAATATCTTATAATGCATTATGAGAATTTTAAAACTTCGTGACCCATTTTAAAAATCATTCCAAATGTGAACAGTGTAAATTGTAGTTGACCTATTTTTTTAAGGTAAACTCCAAATACATACGACTCTTCATTTTTTTACTCATTTGAAAAGATTAAAATGAACACTACTATGAAAACAATCAAAATGAACACTACCAATTATCAAATATTTACATATATGTAAGAGATTGAATTATGTGCTAACTATTAATCTCCATTAGGTGATTGTAGACTAAAATTTATTTTCATGTATACAAAATTAAATACATTGCCAATATAATTTAACAAGTCAGAACTTGAGGGTATATTTGTGAATTGTGAGTTTTGGGGCATAGTTTGCTGCTCTCGTAAAAGGGATGGGGTGTGAGTGAGTGTGAAGAAGAAATGGGGGACTAATGGTCCCTACTATAATCATATAAATATTTTTTTATCTCAATAAAGTAAAATGGTGTCTTTCCGCCTAGGAATTTTCAAAAAAAAAATTATAACCTTCGTTATTGCTGCTGCTGCCTGGGGGTTCACGCTAATGACACCGATATTGTCCCCAATTTTATCACATGACTAATCTATCAAGTGTAGGATTTTAGCACAAAATGCCTCGATATTAGTTAGAGTAGGTTAATCATATTTAAAGCCACCCTTGTTGACTTCCCCTACCGACATGGGACTGCCAACACGCCCCATCACATGTAACCCCATTTAGTGGTTCACACGTAAAGATCCACACATCGACAATTGAAACTTAGAAGTTGGCTCCAATGGAGTCCAAACTTGTTTTCAATCTTTTAAGGAAGTGCCTTTTAAGAACTCAAAGGCCGACTCTATGTTAAGAGTCCAAGCTTGTTTCCAAACCACACTTCCTGGTGACAAGCTTTTGGCTTGCACGGGGCCATTACCGTGGGCTCTGCTACCATGTTGAAATTTTTTGATCGACGGGCCTGAAGGGCCCCACTTTAACGATACCGATACTAATGTTGAAATTTTTTAGATCGACCAGCTGGTGAGGGCCCCACTCTAACGACACTGATATTGTCCCTAAGTTTACCACCTGCCCAATCCGTCAGGTGTGAGGTTTTATCACAAAAGATCTCGATATTAGTTAGAGTAGGGTAATCATATTTAAAGTCACCCTTGTTAACTTCCCCCATCGATGTGGGACTGCCAACATATTGGTCATGATTTTCGATGTTCTTTAAAGCCTTCTCTAAATGAGAATCTTAACTAGTGTCCCTCATCACGTCTCTATTAGTTAAATGTTAACTAGGGCGGAATAACTTGGGGTTCAAACTTACCACTTAGAGAATGCCACACGTCCCCTTATGAATCACCATCAAGCTCAAATTTATTACTATATAAAGGCATGACAGCTCCTTATAAAGGTACATTCCTTAGCCAATAAACCTAAAGCTTTGTTATAATATGTAAGAAGAGGAATGTGAATATTGTAATTGATTATACTAAGGCTCCTTTCTTAGGTTTTCTAGATCAATTGTGATTAAGGTTGTACAACTATATATATTTGCTCCTCGTAAAAAGAATAAAATTGAAGTATTCATGAATTCTAATTTGGCATCACGAGCTAGTCTGAAGAAAAAAAAAAACGAAAAAACTTTTTGAAGAACAGCCAAACTGCCTACACCGAAACCCTTGTCCACCGAATAGTCGCACCTACTAGGTCGAAAACCTAAGATTGAATAGTCGCACCTCCTAGGTTGAAAACATAGAACTTAAACTTGGGAATTGGAGGTCCCAAATTTTAAGTTTTTTCCACGCGAAATTCTAAATATCTATGTTTATAAATCCAAATAAGGGAATTAATACATGTCAATTTAGAATTTTTGACTTTTGTCTCAAATTTCAAGTTTATTTCCTTCATCCAAAAATAATGTTATAGATATGCATGATTGATAGTGCAAGGGAATCATAATTTAGAGTTTAAACTTCAGAATTCTAGTGTTAAATTGGTTAATCGCTTTGATTTTCTGCTTTATGTACAAAGCCCTAAGTGGCCATTTTATACCATAAATACACAACTAGGATTAATAAAGAAGAAAATTGAATAAAAGTAAATTAAATTTTTCAATGCTTATATTCTGTATTTAAAAAAGAGACGTCATGCACATAGACTTAGAGCAGTTCCACTGGGGGTGGGATAGGCCGGCACACAGCCAAAAAAATGGCCCGGCACCTAGGGAAGTCTCTCCATCCCACGGGATTGCCTGGCACCCAGCCCAAGCTGGTCTCCAGGCCAGCACAAAAGTGACAGACCTTGGGACCGGCTCATCTGATGCCAGAGTGGCGTCAGAAGGAAGTTTGAACTGGAGGCCGTCTCCCGTCGACCTCGCGAACACCACTGGCCGCTTCATCTTCCTGTACTCCATCCACAGCAGCAAGTTCGTGTGCTCCAGTGCCGTCCAGATCTTGTTCAGGTCCCGCTTCGAAAACCCGATGGCCACGAACACCTTGTTGAGGTGGTCCAGGTTGAGCTTTGCGATCGTGCGGTGGAGGTTGAAGCCTTGGGTGTTGAGGTCTTGGTCGGAGATTGAGTGAGCGGCGCGACATGGTGAGGTTGAGGGGGAGTGGGAACGGTGGATTAAATAGAGTTTAATAAAATTGATAATATTTTAATAAATCAAATTATTATTTTATAATAAATAATAATAATATTTAATAAAATTGACTAGGCTATTTAGTTTTAGGGGTGGATATGCATTTGGTCTATTACTGTTCATTAGGGTCTATCACTGTTCACTGAGTGGATAAATGGACTGGATGCTGGCGCAAAGTCTTTAGGGTGGAATTGCTCTTATACTAATTAATTAGTGTTTGGGAGTTACTTTATATAAGTAAAGTTTATTTTAATGAGGCTCCCTTCTAAAAGGACGCCCATGAGTCCAATCACTCTCTCATTGGGATTTAATTTGGTATAAAAAAAAAAAGAGTACTAATGCATTCATACTACTCACACAAGCATCTAATCCTATTATCTTACTCATTTTAGGTGTTAAAATCTTATTAAAAAATTAAAAACAGAGAAACTAAAGAAATGGAGTTGGAACTAAAATGGCAATGCAAAGTCAAATAAAAAATTTATGTCCTTAAAATAACTGCTGACGAAAATTCCTGGGCTGTAAACCCTCCCTCTATAGCCTGTCTTTTTAACTAAAATTCAATAAAATTCCCACATTTCTCTCTCCTTAGTTTTAAACGGCCAGACACATCCACTCACATCTCCACCTTTTTCTGCGAGACGTCTAAGGAAAAATCTCACATTTCCCGACCCCCCAAAACCATGCAGATGCATTGCCTCCCATTTCTCCTTCTCCTAAGTTAGTTTTTTGTTTTTGTTTTTTTGTCCTCGACATTGCAATTAGCTACCCCCTCCCCGCCTCCGGGGTCCTCCTCCTTCAATACTCTCGGAGGACCCTGATCCGCTTCTCCTCCTCCTCTATGCGCCTTCGTTTGTTTCTTTCTTGTCAAACAAGTTTTGAGTTTGACCTACATTTTTCTTTTTAACTCTTGTTAAATTGATTAATTTTTTGGAAAAAGTCTGGCATTGTGATATTTTAACTACATTTTGAATTAGCAAGCATTCGATTGTTTGCCAAAGTTCTTCTGTATGTTGAAAGGAGATTCCTGAATATCAGAGATTAGTCAGAAGACATGAGTTGTTTTCCGTGTTTCGGCTCACAGAGAAGTCAGAGATCAAATAGCAACAAGAGATTAGAGAATGACTCGTCTTCTCCTCCTATCGCGCAAGGTAAGTTTTCGTTTTTATTTTTCTTTCACTTTTCTCAATCTTTGGTTATAAATGATTTCGAAACAATGAAGGGCTGGTTGTAATTTACGGTGAATAATGAATATGTGTGCATGAATCTGTCGCTCAATACTTCTCCATATATATACATGTGAAGTATGAAGTAAGAAATATCAAGAACTATCGTTACAGAAATAGCGTAAATATTAAAGATGAATGCATGTCTAAATTACAATGCCTTCACAATTTCAGATTTTGCAAAAGGTTTTAGAGGAGGTTTTCCATGACTAGGCGACCATATTTTTGCGCTGCTATCTGTTGTGGTATCAATCTGTAAATTGCTATAGCTACGAAATGTGGACTGTTAAAAAAGAATCAATTAGCTAGGGCAGTTATACACTAGATATAGAAACTAATCCAAAACAACGATTGACAATGCTGTCAAAAGGTATTGGAAAGGGCCTAAAACCTTATCATTTTTCTGCAGAATTGAAGAAACAAAAACCTGCAGAGGCCACCGAGGCAGTTAATCCAGCAGATATTAATGCAAAGACTTTCACTTTCCGGGAGCTTGCGACAGCAACAAAGAATTTCCGGCAGGAATTTCTTTTGGGGGAAGGTGGATTTGGAAGAGTCTATAAGGGAGCTCTTCAGTCGAGCGGGCAGGTTATAAAAATTCTCGGTTTCTTTTGGTTATTAGGTTTTAATGAGGACTTGCTACTGAGTAATGAATTTACTAAGACTGGTTTTTCCATCTTGGTTATAGGTGGTGGCGGTGAAGCAACTGGACAGACATGGAATGCATGGGAACAAAGAGTTTCTTGGGGATGTTTTGATGCTAAGCCTCCTACACCATGCAAATCTGGTTAACCTAATTGGATATTGTGCTGATGGAGATCAAAGACTTTTGGTGTATGAATTCATATCCGGGGGTTCTGTAGACGATCGTGTTCTTGGTACGTGCGCAACCCTCCCTTTTTCTACCGCTTTCTTGATTTAGAACCCTTTTATCAGCTGCCTAACTATGGATGAACAAAACTATCTGCAGGCAATGGACCAGATGACAAGCCATTAGATTGGTACACCCGAGTTAAAATAGCTTATGGTGCTGCTATGGGACTGGAGTACTTGCACGAAAAAGCCAATCCCCCAGTTGTCTATCGAGATTTGAAATCTTCAAACATCTTGCTAGACGAAGCATTCAATCCAAAGCTCTCAGATGTTGGACTTGCCCAGCTTGGCTCCGAGGGAGATAAGAGTCATGGACCATCAAGACTGATGGGAACCTATGGTTTCTGTGCTCCTGAGTATTCAAAATCGGGTGAATTCACAATGAAGTCGGATGTGTACAGTTTCGGGGTTATACTTCTGGAGCTCATTACCGGAAGAAGAGCCATTGACACAACAAGGTCAAATGATGAGCAAAATCTAGTATCTTGGGTAATTATCTTATAATTTTTCACTTATCCAATACGTCTCTTTAATTGACCTTATGATTTTCACACTCTCGTTCATCATTACCATCGTGTGTAACTTCGTTCTATTTTTAATGTGTGTGAGCAGGCACAACCCATATTCAGGGACCCGAAAAAGTATCCTGACATGGCAGATCCTCTTCTTAACAAGCAATTCCCAGAAAAGGATCTAAATCAAGCTGTTGCAATAGCATCCATGTGTTTGCAAGAGGAGGCAGAAGTTCGTCCCTTCATGAGTGACGTTGTGAATACTCTAAGTTTTCTTTCCACAACTCCTCCTCCTCCTGAGGCTGTTCCTGCTCCTCGTCCAGCTGATCTGACCCCAACTGAAAAACGTGAAGAGAACAATGACGAATCAGAATGTGTTTCTGAATATTCAGAAGACGATGATCTTGATGATGCAGGAGATGATGACGAAGATCAGGAGGCTTCTGATCAAGAGAGTATCAGAAATTCAAAGAGCAACCGCCGTAGCGTTGACATTTCAGAAGGTGAAGGTAGCGAAAATGAACGCCAAGTAACTTCTACAGAATCCAAAGAATGGCATTCATTTACAAGGGGCAGCATGATATCACGGAACGACAGTGTTAATTCAAGTGACCAGGGCAGCAAGGGTGGTAATAATTTGGATGGTAATTCAAGCCAAGTGAGCAGCAATCAATCCAAATATGCAAGTGCATCTTCTAGAAGCAGTAGCAGTGGGTCAACAGAAGAAATCGTTTCCAATAGCAGAAAGAACAGCAGAAAAGCATCACAAAAAGAAACTGCTACTGTTACATTAGCTGGCAATAGCTGTACCGAGGAAAAATCATCAGAAGGCGGAAGTGTTTGCACAAATGATCAGGATCAGAAAAGCATAAGCAAGGTACAACAACTACCACCAGTACTGAAAGATGGAAAAGTTTCGGTAGACCAACACAGAAACAACGAGGAATCGCACGATTTTAAATCATCGAAAAAATGTCAATCCAGTCGCTACTAAAATGTCTCTAACTTGCACATACATTTGAACATGAGATATTTTTTGTATGGATGAGCCATGCATGGCTTTTGTCATTCAAAGATAGCAAACGAGAAGCATTGCTACAAAGGTGCCCTATTGAGATGCATAAGTACGTTGGTAGAAGGAGAAATGCTGCCCAAGGCCAAGAATTTAATGATGTGCTTCTTTTCAGTTTTTTTAAGATTTCGATTATATTTCATTTGGAGGACTTCAGTATCGTGTTTCTTCATTGACATACCCTTAAAGTAAGAGTAAACAAAAAATTGAAAAGAAACAAAAGAACCTACTTAATTATGGGTGGCTTCAGATAAGAAGTTAATGTATTTACCAATGGTAGATTGCACAGAGCGATGACAAGAAAAGGACATGTACGTATAATAACTTACCTCATCGCTCTTACATTTACGGTGCTTATGTGCGAAGTTGCCAAGTTGGATATACGGATAAACATGATCTTGTAAATTAGCTTTTGTGAAATAGAATGCTGCATTAACAATTTACTCTGCAACCAGTAAAATCAATTGAAAGCATATAGAGCTAACTCGCAGAATTGTTGGAATATAAGTGCTTGTGCAAGAGAAATATTAGCATAACTTTTAGTATTTCATATTTAAATGTGAGACATTGGATTATATTTTAATTGGACAACTAAGATGTAATCTTAGTGATAGTAGTGTGTGTTGCCACTCGTAGCTATCTTATAGGGTAGATTACATGAATGGTGGAGAATGAACTTTGTGAGAGAGAATCTCTCTCTCCTCCCAACAGTTTTATTCTTGCACATGCTTTGTGTGCTGTCTGTGAATGAATGAAGCAATTTTTGCTCTGTATGAATATCCTCTCTGCAACTCTCTAAGATTTTCCAGAAAATTTTCATCTCCATTTTCGCTTCACTCCTTACAATAGAGATCATAGTCTCTACATTCTAACATGGCCTCAGAGCCAGGTTTGCTCGCTTAACATTGGACGATTGAATCTGTGAAGGAAACGAGTTGAAATTTGAAGAAATTGATTGCAAGATCTATGTCTAACATGGCAGGGTCTGGAGGTGGTGAGATAAGAGCGTCGATCTTCAACGGCGAGAATTATGAATTCTGGAGCATAAGGATGAAGACTATATTCAAATCTTATGGGTTATGGGAGTTTGTTGAAAAAGGAGTAGAGTGCTCATATTCGAATGGAGCTGATGAATCTGATGAAAAGAAGAAGGAGAATGAGGGATCGAGTGATGCTGCATCTCTCTCGGAGAAGCTCATGAAAGATGCCAAGGCGTTGGGGCTGATTCAAGGAGCAGTTTCTGATGAGATTTTCCCTTGGATCTCTCACGAAGAAACCTCTAAGGGAGCTTGGGATATCTTGATGCAAGAATTCCATAGTGTCAAACAGGTTAGAAATGTCAAATTACAAAGTCTTTGTAGAGAATTTGAATATACCAGAATGAGAGATGTTGAGTCTTTGCCTGCTTATCTTACAAAATTGTTTGATCTAATAAATTAAATGAGAAGTTATGGAGAGGAATTGTCTAGAGAGAAAATTGTGCAGAAAATGTTGATTAGTTTACCTTCCGTGTATGATCCTATATGTTTTGTAATTGAACACTCAAGGGATATAGATGTGATTGAGGTCCAAGAGGTAGTTGCCTCGTTAAAAAGTTTTGCATAGAGATTGGAGAGACATAATGAGAATAAGATTGAGAGAGCATTTACAAGTCTTAGTGTGAATCCCAAACCTATCAATGCTTCTGGGAATCAAGGGAATCAATACCAGAAGAATTGGAAGCCAAAGTTTAAAAAGTGGGATCAAAAGCCTATTTACCAATCTGGGAAGCAAATTGCAGCTGTAGAAGGTGGCAAAAACCCTTGCAGGCACTGTGATAAGTATCATCATGGAGAATGTTTTCTTAAAGGCAAACCTAAGTGTCATTGTTGTGGAAAAATAGGGCATATTGCAAAGGACTGCAACAACAAGAAAAATGTTCAGCAGCTGAATTATGCAACTCAGGTTCTTCCTACACCAACCATGTTCTATCTTAATAATGCAGTTGATAAGAAGTCCATGGAAGATGTATGGTATGTGGACAGTGGTTGTAGTAATCATATGACTGGCAGAGAGGATATGCTAGTTGATATTGATAGAAGCATAACTGCAAAAGTAGAAATGGGGCATGACAATTGGTTGATGTTATTGGAAAATGAAGTTTGGTGGTTGACACTAAGATAGAAAAGAGGTATATCAAAGAAGTAATGCTAGTCTCTAGTCTTAAGGAGAATTTACTCAGTGTGGGACATATGATGAAGCATGGATACTTTTTGATTTTTGGAGATAATAAGCTGAAATTTATGATGACTGCTCTCTTTCTCTCTCTCTCTCTCTCTCTCTAATCTTGTTGTTAAGGTGCCAATGAGAGGAAATAGAAGTTTTCCTTTGAAACTTCAAACAAATTTGCATTTTGCATTAAGAGCAAGTGTGAGTAAGTCAACTTTGAGTTAGCATAGAAGAATGGGGCATCTGAATGTCAATAGTTTGAGGCTGCTACAAAAGAAAGAAACAGTGCTTGGATTGCCAGAAATCAAGAACACCAATGAAGTGTGTGAGGGGTGTATTCTTGGGAAACATTGTAGAGATTCTTTTCCAAGAGAAACAACAAGTAGAGCCACTATTCCACTGGAATTGGTACACATTGATGTTTGTGGACCAATGCAAACTGTTACAAAGGTTGGAAATAAGTATTTCCTTACTTTTATAGATGATTGTACTCGAATATGTTGGGTTTACTTTCTGAGATACAAATATGAAGTGTTTAATGTCTTTAAGAAGTTTAAGGCTACTGTTGAATTGCAAAGTGTGTATAAGTTGAAGAAACTGAGAAGTGACAGAGGATGAGAGTATACATCCATTGAGTTCAACATGTTCTGTGAAGAAATGGGAATGGACATGCAACTCACTGTGTCATACTCACCACAGTAGAATGAAGTGGCTAAAAGGAAGAACATGACCATTGTGGAGATGGCTAAGTGTATGATGTTTGAGAAGAAGATACCACTGAAGTTTTGGGCTGAGGCAGTTAACACTGCAGTATATGTCCTAAATAAGTGTCCAACTAAGGCATTGGACAAGAAAACTCCATTCGAAGCCTATAGTGGAAGAAAGCCAGGAATTAAGCATTTAAGGGTGTTTGGTTCTCTGTGCTATGCACATGTTCCGGAACAACAAAGACAAAAGCTTGATTTGGCTAGCACAAGATGTGTGTTTTTGGGGTATAGAAGCTGTGAGAAAGGCTACAAGCTTTATAACATTGAATTTGGAAAAGTTGTTATTTCCAGAGATGTAGTATTCAATGAGGAAGCAAGTTGGGATTGGAAGGCATAAAAAATGCAGTATCTCAATTCCACTCACTGATATGCTTACTGAGAAAGAAAAGAAAACTAGTGAATCAAGTCTGATTCAAACTGAGATTTCAGAAGGTGATGGTGAGACACCAGAAAATATTGAAGAAGTACATGTTGGAATTGGTGCTGCAAGAGATAGTGGAAGTTCAAGTCCACATGATGTTGATCACACTCCACTGAAATATAAAAGCATTGCAGAAGTGTATGAAATGTGCAATTTGTGCATCATTGAATCTGAAACATTTGAAGAAGCTGTCAAGGATGAAGCATGGCAGAAAGCAATGGAGAATGAAATTGCAATAATAGAGAAGAAGAATACTTGGGAGTTGGTTAGTAGATCATCTAATAAACCAGTAATTGGTGTCAAATGGGTTTACAAAACCAAGTTGAATCTTGATGGCTCAGTGCAGAAAAACAAAGCAAGACTATTTGCAAAGGGTTACTCTCAAAAGCCTAGAATAGACTTCAATGAAACTTTTGCACCAGTTGCTAGGCTTGATACAATTAGAACATTGGTTGCTTTGGTTGCACAGAAAGGGTGGAGACTATTTCAATCAGATGTGAAGTTAGCATTTTTGTATAGAGTATTACATGAAGAGTTATATGTTGATCAACCCCTGGATTTGTGATTAAGAACAAGGAAGAGGGAGTTCACAGACTCAAGAAGACATTATATGGTCTTAAGCAAGCTTCAAGAGCTTGGCATGAAGAAATCAACTCCTATTTCACTAAGGCTGGTTTTCAAAGAAGTCCTAGTGAAGCAACATTATATGTGAAGATTGCTAAAAGTGGATTACTCATTGTTTCTCTATATGTGGATGATATCATCTACACTGGAAGTTCAAACAAATTGATGATGGAGTTCAAAACTGAGATGATGAGACAGTATGAAATGACTGATCTTGGGTTGTTGCATCACTTCTTGGGTTTAGTTGTGATACAAACTGATTCTTACATCTTCTTGCACCAGAAAAAGTATGCAAAGACATTGTTGGATAAGTTTGGTTTCAAAGATTGTCAATCAATTGCTACCCCTCTTGCAGTGAATGAAAAACTATCTAAGATGGATGGAAGTGAACAAGCTGATGAAAGTCTATATAGACAGATAGTTGGGAGCTTACTATATTTGACTGCAACAAGGCCAGACATCATGTTTACAGTAAGTCTGTTAACTAGATTTATGCATGGTCCTACCAGAAAACATATGGGAATTGCCAAGAGAGTACTTAGGTACATTCAAGGCACTCTTGATTATGGTATAGCATATGAGAAAGGGAAGGAAGCAATGCTTATTGGCTACTGTGATAATGATTGGTCAGGGAGTGAGGATGATATGAAAAGCACATCTGGATATGCATTTAACCTTGGTTCAGGTGTATTTTAGTGGGCATCAATCAAGCAAAGCAGTGTTGCACTATTTACTGTAGAGGCTAAATATGTCAGTGCAGCAGAAGCCACTGCACAAGCAATCTGGTTGAGATTTGTTCTCTCAGATTTTGGTGAAGAACAGGTTGAGCCTACAACAATTCTATGCGATAATACATCTGATATAGCCATAACCAAGAATCTTATGCATCATCATAAGACAAGGCACATAAACAGACGATTTCACTTCATTCGAGATACATTACAAGATGGGGAGATTGATCTACTGTACTACAAGACTGAGGAGCAAGTTGCAGATATCCTTACCAAGGCATTGGCTAGAGATCAGTTCGAATACCTGAGAAAGAAGCTTGGAGTAATCTCAACACAACACTTAGAAGAGAGTGTTGGAATATAAGTGCTTGTGCTAGAGAAATATTAGCATAACTTTTAGTATTTCAGATTTAAATGTGAGCCATTGGATTATATTCCAATTGGACAGCTAAGATGTAATCTTATTGATAGTAGTGTGTGTTGCCACTTGTAGCTATCTTATAGGGTAGATTACATGAATGGTGGAGATTGAACTTTGTAAGAGAGAATCTCTCTCTCCTCCCAACGGTTTTATTCTTGCACATGCCTTGTGTGCTGTGAGTGAATGAATGAAGCAATTTTTGCTCTGTATGAATATCCTCTCTGCAACTCTCTGAGATTTTCTAGAAATCTTTCATCTCCATTTTCGCTTCACTCCTTACAATAGAGATCATAGTCTCTAGATTCTAACAAGAATAACCTGTAATATCAGCTTACATTCTACAAAAATAAATAAAATACAATATGGTATAAACAAGAAGCAATATGCTCACTGTTTCATAACACTCAATTATCTTAGCTTCTTCAGCGGAAGAGTTTGTCCAAAAAGTTTTTCTGCTTCACCTGCTTCGATTTTTAGGTCGCTCAGCTGATCCATCTCTTCTTTGAGAAGACCTCTCAAGAAGTTCTCCTCGTCTTGTTTAAGCTCGTTAAACCCTTCCAGTAACTTTTGGAACAATGTCAACTCAGACTGTTCACCCTTTTCAACTTCCCCCCTCTATCTGTTTAACTTCCTCTATAATGGTATTTTCCCCTTCTTGAATTGTCATTTGCAACCTCTCTACAAGCGGAGGCTCAGGTCCACAAGTATTGTCTGTTCAGATAAACTTGCTGAAGTCCCTTCCTACACTTTTAGCTGCTCTTTCAAGGTCAGGAACAATGCGTTCTTGCAAAACTGAACTCCTTGTATGTACAACAGCACCACCGTTTCCATCCCATGCGTCATTCCTTCCACAGTACACAAATATGTAGTCATCCGGTGTGTTCTATATCTTACACAATATACATGTGTTCTCGTAAGGTTTCTGGGCTTATGCAGAAACCAAATGAGAAACAAAATGGTGGAAACCGCCACATAAATGGATGGAAGTGTTGTGCCTTGGCTCGTTCGTTAGTGCGGAACCGAGATTCAGATTACAACCTCACCAAAATCACACACAGTTGAACAAAATAAAATACAAGAAATAAATACACAGAGAAATTTACGAGGTTCGGCAAAAAACTGCCTACGTCCCCGGAGAGATATTGCTCTTCACTATGAGAATAACAGTACAAGTATACATGAGTTAAATCGACATAACCCAATCCCATATCCCTTGTACACCCACTCACAGAATTTTCCCAAGAGCCTCACTCTACCCCAAGAGTTCTTTCACTAGAATACTTTTCACTCTAGCTCTCTTGATTTTCTCTCAACCCATGTTCAACCTTTTCCATGGGAGAGCCGAATGCTCTCCCCCTTGGATGCTCTCATTCACTCTTCACAAAGGCATAACCAAATGCCTTAATATAAACAAAAGGCCCTGCCTTCTCTCTCTCCTCTTCTCTCTTTCGGCTCATCACACAAGGCCAATTATTTGCCTTTGTAAAAGCCACAAATCAAGGGCTAGACATCATAATGATGTCCCCCTTTTTCTTTGTCCCTTTCTTTAGCCGAAAGTAGCTAGCACTCCACATGGTTGAGATGAAATTGTTGCCAACTCATAATATGAGCCAATCACAACAATCTCCACCTTGGCGAATACACCATGCAAAAATCCTTGCACCCATCACCAAAGCCCATTGGCCTTACGTACCAGCATGCACACTCTGAATCCACCTCGTTGGTCCTGTTCCGATTCAGTTACTGCCAATGCATGTGCAGCTGCTGCAAGCTAAAAATCACCATTTAGCTTCAGACAAGATCTCAACACATCATCGTCTCCTCCAGCAGGTTTTCCTCCTCTTCATTGTCTGCAACCTGGAAACTCGTCAGCGCGCCTATTTCCAGCAACAACCCATCGAGCCAGACAAAATTCCCACACTTCCTCCTACCTCAGGACCTTCTCATCACCTGTGAATCCCATAGCTCCACCTGCTGCAAAACCCCTGCAA